AATATGCATAAATTAGGTAGTAATCAGGTAGTAATTAGTTTAAAATCAGGTACCTGATTTGTGCCTGATTTTTTATATTTCGACCTGTGAACCTAAAGCTAAGAGAGAAACTTAAACTTAGCAATAGAAATATACTCAAGATAATAGAGAAGTGCATCACTATTAAAGAAATCAAGTATAAACTAAAAAAAATTAAGGTACATAGTAGAATAGATAGAAATAAACAAGCAGACAAGCTCACCAACAAAGAACTAGCAGTAAATATATCTTATCCTTCAAGCCAGAGTGGTTCAAGAGTATTAAAGTAGACTTAGTATAGAAAAATCACATAGTTAATCAGCTATTAAGAAAGTTTATAAACAAGGTTGCTAATATAATCTATAAAATAAATGAAAAATTATATAGAGAAAGAAAGCATGTTTGAAACTAGTAAACCTGCAGAGAACTATAAATATGGATTTTATAAATAAAGTAAAAAAAAGAAAATATTTAAGCATGAAGCAAAGCAAAATATGAACTTTTCAAGTCAAAGCATTAAATCAGATATTGCCAATACTAACTAGGTTATATATCAAAGACTCTAATCTATATAAGTATAATTTTTGTATAGCATGTTTCAAAGAATCAGAAACCCAAGACCACTTAGCAATATGGGACCCTCCACAGCAAAAGGGAATGATAGGACAAAAAATTTGAAAATTTGTTTTTATAATACTTTTATTCTAATCAATTTAATTCTTTGAGATATTGAATTTTTTTTAAAAAAATTTTTCTGGCCTATCTCCTCCCTTTTGCTATGGGGGTCACATATGTGAAATTTATAAGCAATTCTAAAAAAGACTTGAAAACAAGGTAGTAAAGAAAATTAAAGAGTTAAAAAACAAAGAAAAAGCTAAAAAGAAGTTTTTGAAAGCAAACATATATATATACAACCTTAAAAAGAAATTCTTTAGTAAAAAGAAAAGTGCCAAAATGAAGAAAAAGAAAAAACTTATTCAAGAAATTATGTCTAAGCACAAAAAAAAAGATAAAAAGACGAAGCTTAATTTATGAAAAATGCTAAAAAGAAACATATACAAAAAAAGCTTAAAAAATTTATAACAAAAACTTATATTAAAAAGTTTGTTAAAGAAGCTTTCTAACCTTTTTGGATATCCTTGGTGAGACCAAATAAAAGTATATAAAAATCAATCTTACTCTTCTTTGGCCTGAGAACTTTTTATTAAAGTATAGATGAAGTTTTATAATGTAGTTATAACGATAGTACATCAAGCCACACATGCATCTTTTGAGTGTCTAATTTAAGTAGTCCACCCAAAGGTTCTACACTATCTGCTGTATCTACACCCCAACTATGGAAGTATCTATTTAAACTATCTAGTTTTAACTACCTCCATTAGCCCTCTAACTCAGGTGTTTCTTACTATATATTTATAAATTTCAGATTTACCCGTTGTGGATTTCACACTCTATCTTAGGACTTACTAACTACAATTTGGATTTGTCAATCCCTATTATTAAGATTTACTAACTATATATAGCTAATCTATTCTAGAAGGTAAATCTAACAGAGCGATACATGTCCCACACATGTATTCACCTACATGTTTCTATAACTTCTTCCTAATTAGTACATATTGATCTGCCGTTCTGTATTAGTATCTCACACTACCTTTTGGGGTGCTGCCTTTCTACAGATATTTCTCAAGCATCAACCTTCCTAACTAGACGCTTATTACATACTCCTTGCTCTTATTTGGTTCACAACAACCCCGATACCCACATTTGGACCATCTTCTTATTCGGATTCTTTATTGGTCTCTTCCTTACTTCCAGCTAGCAACTCGAAAGGGTTGGTCTGCTCAGGCTTTAGGTGCCTGAAAGATGCACTCCTCTTGGTTCATACTTTTGGAGCATATACCCTTTTCCTCTGGTGCAACAACCTGGCGGTTCGGCTGATGTGTTCTCCGCTAGCAAACCTGGTCGCTCAGTTCTTCAATCTCAGGCCCCAGTTCGAATTTAGCCCTCCTGTGATACCATCGAAGATTACTGCTACTTCCAAATTTGGGACTTGCCAAATAGGTTTTCAGTTATGCTGGTTCTTCAGATTTATTGTGCCAAAGCTCTCATTAATAGATGGTGTGACTAAAGTTACAGATTTGATTCTAGATCCAACTGATAAGTATAGCCATCAACCAAACACAGACCTATTTTTCAAATATTGTCACCAGTGGGATTTGAACTTTAGACCTGCCACTTGGAGAGGGTGACGACTAAACCACTACACTAAGTCACTACACTTTGTTATAAATTGTTTTTAAAAGAAGTAAATAATTTATTTTTATTAAAAATAGCAATATATTAGCTAATTTGATTTTTTTTTTAAAACTATTGCACAAAAGTTTGGATATTAAAAAAATAATGAATAAAGCACTTGCTACAATTAACTAAAGCTTTTTTTTTTTCAATGTTAAGGTGACCTCTTTGTCAACAGCAATTTATTATTATTAAGTAGTATTTTGGTATACAACAAGAGTATACAGTCAGACCCCCCTAAATACACCCTTCCTAAATGCAGCACCTCTCTAAATGCACGTCTTCTTTTGGGCCCAACTAATATTGCATCTATAGATTTTTACCTTCTTAAATGCAATACCTCTCTAAATGCACATGCTAGAGCTGGTCCCAACGACGTGCATTTAAAGAGGTCTGACTGTATATAGCTACACATGCACCTTTTGAGTATCTAATTTAAGTAGTTCGCTTGAAGGTTCTACACTATCTGCCATACTTGCATCCCAACTAAGGGAGTATGTATTTAAACCCTCTGATCATAACCTTAATTCCACTGTGTGGAACTTAAAACCTGGGTGTAATCTCACTATGCACACCAAGACATTATGGATCTATGCAACACCACTAGATTAATAGCCAGACTTAGGATGAGACTGTATGCTCTAATTTATCCTCGAGATAAACCTGCCAGAGTGGTACATTTCTATATATATATTCACCTAGACTTTAGTAACTTACACCATGCCTTAATTCATATACTTGGGGTCAGAGCTAACTATTAAATCCCTACTATTATCTACTTCTACTCTTTTAAGGTTCACAGATCACTATACTATATTCTATTACTTTTTGCACTCTACTCTTTTGGTATCGTTATACTTCCAAATCCAAAAGGCCCAGAAGGATTGGTTTGCCGGATCTGAGTTTCCCAGGTTCAGATCTGGTGGTCAATCCCTGGTCCACGATTTTATAACATGTGACCTTTTCCTCCAAAGGTCACCATTAGGTGTCCCTGGTGGCCAGGTTGGTAGATCTCTTTTGCCTGAAGGATTTTTGTCATATAACTTCTTCAATTTTTGGAGTCCATTTAGATTTGTCCTGTAGTATCAGGTCACACTTGGTTAGATCAATCTACTACTTTCTTAATCAGGATTTGCCAAGCCAGTTTCGGTTCTTCAGGCTATTGTAGGTTTTATGTCAATCAGGATAACTAATCATGAGTTTGCACCACCTATACTGGTTTGCATTCCTTTGTGCAATAACACAAATGCATCTATGTCTCCTAGCACTGTAAGGCATTGGTATGGCCCAGTTTACAGGGTACTGTAGCATAAGCTATAGCATAACAGAGCCCTAGCCCAATTTAGAATAACTGTCACCATAGCACAAGTAAATTATCCAAAACGTCACCAGTGAGATTCAAACTCAGTACTTATAGCCAACAAACTTGGGGGTGCAACAATTCTACCACTTCGCTACATCACCACACCCTCATTAACTAAAGCTTTTTAAATATATAAACAAGATAAAAAACTAATAAAAATTAATAAAAGAGCTATGCTAAGCTATAAAAAGAAGCACTTTTATTATTGTAAATTTTTATTGTTTAAGATTTAAATATCCAAGTATTCAAAAAAGTGTTTAAACTTTAATAATTAATATGGATCTTTACAAGAAAACCACCCTCTGAGATTTTCCAATTGGTCAAACTTAGACCAGAATATCAGTTCTTATTTACATGTAAATTCACCTTTACTTTCTCAGAGGGTGATTTTCTAGTAAAGATTACATATATTTATTTAAGAAATATATAATTATATATTTTGTTTAGATCTAAATATATTATATTAGAAATTAATATGGGACCAACAAATTGTAATTTATTTATATACTTACTAATCTTGAATATAATTAACAAATTGTATAAAGTTATTATAATAACAGAAATAAATTACAGTTATATTTTTGCTTAAAATAATATAAATAATAAACCATATAAAGAGAATATACGCTTTAAAAAATGCACTTAGAAATATTGTATATTACTTTATTTAGAGAAGTGTCAGTTATCATCTGATTTTTTTTAGCAGGGGGTGGGTGCCAAAATATCAAGCTAATAGATCACATGTATATTTTTATACATAATCGTAATCATTTGAGGGGAGAATTTTACTATTTACAAAAAATCAGATGATAAATGGACACTTCCCTTACAACCATCTACAAATATTATAAAATATTTATACTGTAATATCTAAATATCCAGATAAAAGAATGTTAACCAATTTTAATAAAAAAATTTTTCGATTTACAACTTTATTTAAAAATAGTTCACTTAATAAAAACTTTGTTAAACATAAAAAGTGTACCTGTATAAACAAGTGCGTATTACATGGTTTTGAAGCATTTACATTAAATAGATGGCATTATAAACAACTTGGACTCTAGTAATTCCATTTTGTAGACAAATTTCGTTTGCAAATTTTCATGAATGATTTGGATCATTATGTAAAATAATTTGAAGAATAGCAATGATCGAAGATTTAAGAAGCATCAAACTTTGTCACCTGCCAAATGAAGTCAGAAATAGCTAATGTCTGTGATTTAATGACGTAAGGCTTAAATGTATAAAGTAATTAGCGTTAGTATAAATAGAATATCTTATAAATCTGATCTATATCAATACGTATCTCCGTTTGCACATCATGGTTTGTTTCAAGATCAACAATTTTGTAAAAGAATTTCTTTTTATATGGTATTAACTCTACAGAAACAATTGATTATTGTAGAAGAAAAATTCTGGAAAACATAGAAGACAATCACATAACGAAACAAATCACAAACCACTACCTTTAATCCCTCTAATTATTCCTACTAGTGTTCATCCTCAAGCCGAATGGATTACTTTTAGTGAAGGTGTTTCCATTGCTGCAGAACGAGCAAATAAAAAAATACCATATTACATGCTTCCGGTTCTTGGTACTTTACCATCTGTTCATCATGTTTATGCGGAGTGGTATTTCGGTTTGGATGGTAAACCAGCAATCAAAACATTGATCGAAAAATATGGAAAAGACTGGATTAGAGATAACAATGCGAGATTGTGTCGCCGTAGATTTTTAATTAATGAGATCGAGATGAGGGAGATGCAACATAGTACAGCGGAAGCATTGGTTTTATTGGATGGTTTGAGAGGTGATGACGGCCTAAATAGATTAGTTGATGTTAAATTGTTGGGACGTCCTAGATAATAAATTCATAAATAATCGATGACTTTTATATTTTGCGAGCATAATACCGTTGTACATTCGAATTTTATATGTAATTTTAAAATAACATTATATAAAATAAAAGATTTTTACTTTTAAATCATCGTTATTTGAATATCTAATAGAATTTATTAAAACACATCAATGGTGTTTAACAACATAGTTGCTATATCTCAAAGACTAGAAAAGCAATTTACGTCTGAACTCTAAGCAGCACATTTAAAAATTCACTACTAAATTCTAACCTCTAAAGTTAACTTCTAACCTAATATATACAGTAAAATGATTATCTTAATTATTTTATGTATTAGTGTTATTTATCTGATAATGTATTGGTTCATTATCGTTATGGAAGTTTGATAGGATGAGAGTAAACTATTAAGGATTTTTAATAAAAGAGAAGGTCATGATATCTTTACATTTTTACATTTTTTGATTGTTCTTAAACGACCATTATAACATTTTAAGATTCGTTGTTTTCTCATATATTATTCATAAGCTTTTTGATACTATAGAATATTATTTAACTTTGATATTGTATACGCATCTTTGGCATCGCATCTCCATTTGATAAGTTTTGGTTGTGAAAGTGAATTACATCATATGACTAGTACCAGTCAACTCTGACGTAAAGAATCTTTTTATGAACTTTTTTTTCTCAAGTTTGGATGTAAAGCATAGTAATTGATTATATAACGAAAGTCTGAAAATTTTTTTTTTACGTTATAAAGAGTCGGCTGCATATACTACCCAACATATTATATATATAATTTTTTTATTAAAATGACATCATATTCATTAAAGTGTCGCGTGCCAGGTTGGTGGTACATTAATCAGTCAAAACTAATTCACGTACTTACGAACGTACAAATTACAATGATAATATTATAAATTTTAATAAAACAAACCACCATTTTTCAAAGATAGCTAAAATTTATTTCTACTCAATTTGTGTGTTTTTATTTTTTATTGAATTCTAAGAACTACCGTATAAGCGCGTAACAACGCGCAGGGGCGCGCTATTTCGAGCCCCTGCGCGTTATTTCGGGACGCGCATGTGCGATAATTTGAATAATTATGCTAATTTTGGAGACGTCATAATAGAACTAGAAAGAGATACTTAGCTTATTTGAGATAAAGACAACATAAGGCGAATAAATTTCAGATATTATTTTTAATCATATTTAATATGATAATAAATAGGTTTCAGGCAAATTTATTTGAAGATTCAAAATAGCACGTGAAAGATAATCTGGTACATATGGGGCGCGTTATTTTGGGCGTTATTTTGAGTTAAATATACCATTTTTAAAAATATTGGATTTCGAAATAACGCCCATGTGTGTGTTATTACGCGCTTATACGGTATTCGTATGTTTTTTTTCACAATATTTTCAAAAATTTTTACAATAATAATTCATCAACGTTCTTAATTTAATATACGAAATAATGAAAAAATATTAACTTTAAAAGTTTGAGTAATAATTTTAAATAATATTAATATATATATAGCTAATAAAATAAGTATGAATTATTCGATTTATAAAAAATGTTCTTCAAACACAAGCTTTTCATATAGCTGACCGTAAGCCATATCTTAACACGAAAAAGAATACAGTAATAGTAACGCTTTTCCTAATCTGATCATCAAAAGAGGTTCACATTTAAAAGCTAAATTTTATAAACTTGGTTAACCATACATACTTAAAACTATCGTAGCAATGTCTGTACATACTCTATTTACATACAAAGTATTACTTATTCCTGTTATACCCATAATTTACAAATTCAAAAGAAGATAGAAAACCTACGAAATACAGGATGGTTGGTGAAGTGCAAAGTGGAAATTATTATTCAAAAGAGTCTGATAGATGAATTGCACTTGAAATTAAATGGTGTAGATAATTTGGCTAACTACTATGCCACCACGGTTCGAAAAATTATCAAAACTATCTTTATACAAGAATCTTTTCAGATTTATCTTTAATTTTCTCTAATGGCTTTTAATTCTGTTAAAAAGATTTAAAATTCTTAATGAAAGAATATCTCGTACGGTACACTAAAAATAAATGGGTTTATTGATTATACAAAAACTTAATTGATTGCTGCATTCTAATAGAAAGACATCTCATCGAAAGACATCATAGTTTTCTTATTAATTATTTTTACTTACAGTAGTCAAAGAAAAGAATACCAGAAAGTTACCTAGTGTCAAGAAACGATCTAAATACTCGCACAACATTGGAATGACTTGCTGAAATCATAAAAATCGGACGAATGAATATTTATAACGCATTTTCATAATCATGTTTAATATAAATATGTATTTATGTATTGGTAGATTTGCGGGTGCGAAAGGATGAATTTATTTCAAAATATTACGTACCCATTTCTTTTGCATACTTTTTTTTTGAATTTTAATTATTAAAATTTACCAGCGATAGCAGTATTATGTTATAATGAAAACAAAATTTCATTTAAGCAGCGGAAAACTTTATATCTGAATGAAACTGTAAAAAAAAAAAAAATTATAGTGAAAATAGATAAATATTTAAAAAGCATAAAAGTTATTAAAGCTTGTGGCCTGTAACTCATGCGAAAGGCAAGGTAAAGTTAATGACTCCTTTATCTAAAATTATCGAAGAAAAATATATCAGCATGATTGGTTCATTTAACCACAACGTATTACAGTTTCATTAATAAAATAGCGACGGCAGCCTCAATTATTGGCGACGTGATTTGTTAAAATTAACATTCTTTCATGCCTCAAGCAAAAAAATAAATAAATAAATTTCTTGCAAAATCTACTATACACTATTTCCTAGTTTTAATTGTGATTCTATCCTTGACCCTAAAATTAATAAACCTAATTGTAATCATGAAATTACACAGCCGGTGACATAAATAAAAAAAAAATTGTTCGTTAAAATTTCATCCCTAACCTTAATTCTAATATGGCAACACAGAATAAGAAAAAAAAAACAATACAATAAATGGGATCTTTGCTAGGAATTTTTTTTTCTAAAAATAGATTTATTATGTTTTTCTTAATAAAAATCTCGTGTAACAATGGCTCGTAGGGTCATTTTCCTAGCATAGATCCCAAATGCACTAATACATTTATTTATGATTTGAATTATTCTATTATACCGATAGTTGTTGTCTCGAAATAACGCCCTGGAATGTAATTCGAATTTTGGATCGAATTACAGCTATTATCATAATTCTTGGGACACCTGTAAAAATTTGCCGAATGATTTTTCGGCCGATCCGATTAAGTTATTGATTCGACATGATCCGTATAATAAAATAATTAATAAAAGCTATTTTTGTATCATAATGATCATTTTACGATTTCACAACAACAATGTCAACGATCTTAAATTTTCGTTCGAATGCTTGTCCAACAGCTTAGTTTGTACGAAAATTTATGGAAAAAATTATTCATGTCAACCAATAAAACTTAGCAAGAAATGTAAAAAAGGCATTAAATATCATTTCATCGCATTAATCGTTTCGTTTAGCTTGTATCAGTATGTATGAAATCGTTTATTAATTATTGAAATCAAAAACAGCAAAACAAGTTCAAAATTAAGAACATAAATACTAACTAGTACGTTATGCCTTTCAAATCATTACATTAATCGTTTATCAGTTGTACCAGTATATGATAATTATTGGAATCAAAAAACTACAGTTGGCATGTATGAAATCATTTGTTAATCATTAAACAGCAACAAGTTCAAAATTAAACCACAAATACTTATCAGTATGCAATTATTTTGTCGCATTAATCATTTTATTCAGCTTATACCGATAAATATAAAAATCGTTTATTAATCGTTGGAATCAAAAACAACAAAACAAGTTTAAAATCAAAAGTATAAATACTTACCAGCACGCAATGCCTTTCAAATCATTTTGTCAAATTAATCATTTCGTTCAGCTTGCACCGATATGTATGAAAATCGTTTAATCATTGGAATCAAAAACAGCAAAACAAGTTCAAAATCAAAAGTATAAATACTTATCAGTATGTAATACCTTTCAAATCATTTCATCAAATTAATCTTTTCATTCAGCTTGCACTGATATGTATGAAAATCGGTTATTAATCATTGGAATCAAAAACAACAAAACAAGTTCAAATCAGAACTATAAATACTTACCAGTATATAATGCCTTTCAAGTAATTTCATCGCATTAATCGTTTTATACAGCTTATGTCGGTATGTAAGAAATCGTTTATTAATCATTGGAATAAAAAAAAACAGCAACAAGTTCAAAATCAAAACCATAAACACTTACAAGTATACAATACTCCTAAAATCATTCGTTCGCATTAATCAAAAATAGTAAATAAGTTAAGCATAAATACTTACTTACCGGTACGTAATACCCTTCAAATCATTTCGTTCGAATTAACTATTTTATTCAGCTTGTTACCAGTACATACAAGAATTGTCTATTAATCATTGAAATCAAAAACAGCAAACAAGTTCAAAATCGAAATTATAAATACTTACCGGTACGTAATACTGTAATACTCTTCAAATATTTCCATTCACATTAATTGTTCATTCAACTTGTACCGGTATGTATAGAAATTGGGAATTAAAAATAGCAAATCAAGTTTTGGCTCCAATGCTTTTTAGATAGAAAGGCCCAACATTATAAGTTCACCGTTTTCCTTTCATTTTAATAATAGTGTCCAATGCTATCACCTATAGTTGTTAGGTTAAAATCTCCGTGTGATAACGAAAGGTAAAACATAAGACTAACGACAAAACCCTAGCGAAACCTAAATCTCTTGATGAGGGCGAAGGTGAAACCTAGCGAAACCCTAATGGAAGCCAAACTCTAGTAAATAAATAACTTGAACCTTGAATTTCATTTTTACTGTTATCAAACACAGAAATGCAATGCGGCTTACGTTAAAAGCTGAAAAGCAATAAAGATTATCATAAAATATAAGTTAACAA